AGCAAATGATTTGAACAAGCTCTAGGATATCATTCATGGCAATATTAAACAGGAAGGGTGATGCGGAGCAGCCGCATTTTAGCCACTTGTGATAAATAGGGACAATGAAGTGTTATCTTTCCCCTGCATCAAGCCTTAATTTCAAGAATAAATGGTACTCTTCTACTCAACAGGCAACTATACACAGCAATTTGTTCAAGTTAGTTAGATGGCTGACAGCAAACTGAGTGAACAGATAATAATTAAAGTGCAAAGTTGTACGGATTTAGCGATTTCTCGGCTGTCCAATTTGAGCAAGATTATAAATTTAGGATACTTCACCACCAGACTTTGGTCATAAAATAACGAGTCTGAAGGTAGCAGAGCGAATAATGTATATCGCGTCAGGTTTGTAATCGTCCAACAGTATCAGTAAACTATTCATAATTGCCACAAAGCCCAACTGGATAGGTTAGGTAGAATATTTCCGTGATCGCCGAACTCACTCTAAGGCGCGAAGTACGTTTACAAAAGGCAGCTCACACCCTTTGGTAGTTTACAAAGCACACGTAGAAAATGTGGAAATCATGATTATTCAAACGCTCTCCGTTGATTACTCTCCTCTGGTAGCGGAACTGCATTGCCAGTGTTTCTATAAACGTTCACATTGGCGTTAACACAAGGCCGTAGGAGTTTTTTGGTAGCTCATAGGAAATCAACTGACCAGTCTTGAAATCCGTATGCTGCAAGTTGTCCCTGATTGACCGCAACCGCTTCTTCTTCTCTCCAGCAAAAGTCCACGACTTATTCGCAGGTATCTTCCCCATGAATGCAGTCCCTGAGAGCAAAGATGTACCACTTATAATAAAAACGGATAATCTTCTCTCCAAATTTGTCTTACACGTAAACCGCCAAGCTAAACATTTAGTTGTGTATAGTACAGGATATTTGGTTAGCATCTCCCTTAGGTTGGTCAATGTGAGATAGTTGGAAGCTGCCTTTATATTCAAAAAACCAGAAACCAAAGGCGGTAGCACAGTGGAAGCAAGATTATTAAAAGCTGATAGTATCGGGTGAAAGAGTGCGACAAAATAACATGGCTATACAATAATGTAAAGAATTATAATATTGCTCACCAGACTTCACCGTCTTACTTGCTGCTGCAAGGAATAAAATTTCAAAGTAGCCAGTTAACTGTACTACATTCCAGCGTATCCGATGAACAAAGGAAAATGATTTATTCCAAGTGAAAATTAAATGGTTGACAAGTCCCTTTGGGATAACGGAAGGAAGGATCATGAAACGATAAATAACTAACAGACGAAATGATAAAAATGTCGGTTTTACCGTGACTCACCAAGCCGCCCATACCAACACATTTACTTGTCTCCACACCGCTATGTTAAAGTGACACTTGGTGAGCACACGGTACTTTTGCGTTACTTCGTCTCTCGATGGAAACAAACTCTATCACGGAATGTAAATCGGTTAGCTTGTCGTTGGGGTTTTTAAGCGTGAATATGAGGACAAACTTAACATGATTTAAAAGGGCGTTCTATGTTCGGAATAAAAAAATGGAGAAGAGGTTTCTTCGGCATTTAAGTCAACTCTAGCGCATGACTATTTTGAGTTGTTAGACCCTCTGGTTGGTATTGTAAATGACTTACAGTGAATAGTGAATGGGGATATACGGTGTTTGATATACCCTGATAAGCCCTTCAAGCAAGCGCCAATATTCACCATTTTACAAAATTAGGGCTTGAATTCTGCATTGACAGGAGCTGTGAAACTTTCCTCTAACGATTTTCGTGCTTCGTTGTGACGTTTCAAGCAAATTGACATCACGTTTGCTTCATGATCGCCAGCCTTGGATCGTGTATTCCACGCAGGGCCTCAACTAGGTGTTTGGCGATTGCGGAATGGTAGGGAGCTCCTAGTTCCCGAACGCACTTCTTAACAGGCAAAGTTGATGATTGGTTCTTCTCGGTGCCTTTTTCTCATGTTTCGAGTAGCCAAGTTCATCCTGCACCATTAATCCGTGGTCCCTTTCCTGTTGCGACAACTGTTAATCGGGTGCCGGTTTTCTAACGATCACGTATATGTCCTACGAGATCACTCGGCAATGCCGTGTGGTCGTCCATTTTCTTGATGTCATGCCAGATCCTGACGTAGTCTGCAAATAGGAAGAAGTATGTTCGCAGCATACTGGCATGGTCGTTGCACGTAACTATGGGCAAACTTGGTCCAAGTACTGATCCTTGGGCCACACTACATCGAAAAGCAATGAAGTCGGAATTGTAGTCTTGGACTGTCGAAATCAGCCGACTTTGAATGAAGAGTTTGATTATCCAACCCAGTACAGGGTCACCGATCGCATGGCTTCGAATTTCCTTAAAGAAGAATGAAGTGCTCCAGGTTGTCGAGACTTTAGAGAACTCCAGGTGTAGGACATCTACTCTTACTCACGCATCAGCTGGCTCCACCCAACATGCTGGGACTAGCAACTTGTTTACAGTTCATGAACGATATCAGCGGAATCGTGCTTCCGTCACACTGTGATGCAGTTAAGTACAAGGTATCACCTGAGCGCCTCTGTGATAATATCTTTTAAAACTTCGGATAGCGCAGGTATGTGAGTGATTTTACGTACATGTTACAAAATGTCTTGAGTTGGGTGCATATCCAAACAAGTTTTTGAAAGTGGCTAAATTAAGTGCAAACTTGTATGTGTTTGTAAGTGCCTTTCAGGATTGGTGAACCCGAAGGGAGAGGTTAGTTAGTCGATAGTATAGTTGACTGCATGATCAACTTGATCTCAACATACAACTTTGCATGTTTCAAAATTGACAGCCGGCGTGACTGTGAATGTTTATTTGTTTATATACACATTATGAAGTCTCTGTGTGACAGCTGATAACGATCGCCGAACACTTCGAAAGATTTCAGTCGTTCCTATACGATAATTGGCAAAATGTTTGATCGTCTCCGTTCCCCGATGCTGTGGAGTCTCGACCTGTCCGGATTCACATTTTACCAAGTTCACGAAGCCTGGATGGTGTATTCGACATGGTCATGCCGAATCCTGCGTTATACCACGCTCCACTTGAATTTTGTTGGATAATAACATTCATGTTTTAAATCAAAATGGTCATTTGTGAGGACATTTTCCGATTATTTGAATACTGCGTCACCAGTCCCATAGTTCTGGATCGTATAAACCGACAAACAGTGATCCAAGTGAGGCAACACTGCAAATGTTGAAGTAGGTGACGTCGGTTCCTGTCCCCGCGTCAACAGTTTCAGTCCAGTTGCATTGTGCAACCCACGAGTTCGTGGTACATGATCATTATTTTTGAAGACCGTGCTGACAACATAGCTTTCCAGCACATCCGCGACGATGTTCGCATGGTTCACTAGGGCAAATCGCCATTGGGTGGTGATTGGAAGTTTCAGGGGCATTTCTTTCATTGTCAGTTAAATCGATTAAACCCCATTTCTTCTAGAATAACAGCGTTGCACCACCCACGAAAGCACTTGAACATATTCCAACGTTTGCATGCAAGAACAAGGGAAGATTTCCAAAATGATTTCAGTCCGTATTCTCTGCTGATATTAAAGTTGTTAGACAATAGAAACGTATGCGTTCAGCATAGTAAGTGTCTTGTCATTTCTATACATCCATATTTTACATTACAGCGCACCATCTAATTGACACACTATTTTCACTGAAGTGAAGGCTAAACTTTGAACCCCTATCAATAGGACGTCTCACGCATGACAATTATCACTATCTTGTCTGTGCAGCATGTTCGCATAGACATTGAGAGCAAGGTCCAGCCGATGGCTTGCATGATTGTCCACCGGTTTCATGCTCATTTGCTGTTTCATCGCTCTGTTTGTTGAGTGCAACTGTCACATTTGTTCTCTATATCATCAACTCTTCTAAAAACATCAATACTTTACAAACCATTGAGCTAACCCATAAATTTCTCCCTCAAATCTGAACATATGCGATGAAGACGAGGGGCAAACAAGAGCCATACAGCTTGACCGTCCAGCACGGGAACTTCTGATATGGTCAATTTTGGTCGGCAAGCTGCGAATGGCCGAGCTCTTTTGGACGATGGAAAAAGTAAGAAACCTTAATAACCTCTGAACTATAATTTATCCACATTGTTGTGATGTTAACAAACGGATCATTGACATTTTGCTTAAAAGTATTCAAAATTTACGAGTAGCCTGATGAACTGCAAATTTTGTGCGTTCGTGGTACGCCATTCTAGGAGCCCTCTGTGAGATGACTTGCTAAACTTAACTAAATTCACAAAAAGGAAGCGAAGCCCGTCGACAAAATCATCCCATTTATTTAACTTCGCTATTCTATCCATCTAATTTGTCTGTTCAAATATGTCCCCTGGTTAGCAGTGTGAGTACTTTCTGGTGAGCCAAGGAGAAGTGAACCGCAATTATAACGAGAACCACATGCTCCCAAACAAGACAACTAATGTTGACAAATTTCTTTATGTGACGAATGTTGGTCGACACTGATCACTTGACACCAGTCACAATCCATCAATGCCATGACGCACAAAGGAACTCCTAGAATACTCCCACTGTGATTGAACCACTTGAGGTGACATCACCAACTGTGACTGTAATGACACATTGGTTCAAGCGCGGATAACGCGGTTATTGGCCCTGTTCGCTATAAAATGGTACTTCTATGCGCACGGACTTACCGGGTCTGACGAAGCCCCTTTATCAAGAGCGAAACGTTATCAAACAATTGAACCAATCGATTGGTTCCAAAGCTCTCCGAAGTGTGGTCTACTTCGGGATTACGCTTGGCAATCTTTTCACACGAGCGTTTCATGAGTAACGCTGAATCATTCATCAGCTAGTTGTGATGACCTTTGACCTAAAATATCTGATGTCCTCTAAGCTTATGAGTTGGGCCGCCCTAAATCATAATTTTGGTTCTACGTTGGTCCAACGCCGGTTGGCTTTTTAAGGATTCCTAATTGGGACTGAAATGATAGGAAAATCCTTTTTGTTAAATTTTAGAGCGGATCATTGAGTTAGGCACCGATAAGATGCTTTGTTGTCTTGATGGATCCAAAACGACAAACCCGAACCACACCCCGGTCAACCAATTACTTCCCAAATTCCCTGCAATAGCGGTCACTGCTGTGTAGGTCACGTGAAGTAAAGGAGATGTAGAACGAAAATGAAAGAAAAAAGGAAGGAAATTCACTTAAATAAAGGATAACACCAAAGAGTGCAGAGAATGACAGCATATGAACTCAAAGTTGGAAGGTGGATATGATCAAGGGAAGGGAGAGGTTACGTTTTGCCACCCAAGAGAGTCTAATTGACCATAGCAAACCCACTGACTACACTTTCTTGAAACGAGTTCCAATGCTCGACAACCCTACGTGATAACTGAGTTTCCGCCCTGATCCGGTCGGAACGTGGCTTGTATAGCTTCATGAGATGACCGCGAAGCCAAGGTAACCAAGCCGGGCTAAATAGCAAGCTCAAGTCCAGTCCAACCTTCCCTATCAAAGTGCGATAAGTAAGGATTACGTCTCCTCGAAGCCGTCGGTAGTGCATTAATTACCTATCCAAGATAAGTAGAGGCTCGGGATACGTTTGCCTTGTAATCACTGGACAAATTTGTTACATACTCTCAAAAATCTCTATAGCTCCATTATTTTCCGAACAAAGAAAGGCGGATAAGCCTGGACGTGATCTTCCAGATGGGATCGAAAGAAAGCTGAGAACAGCTTCACCAATATGTTGACAGTTAGGACCACTGAAAACCGATGTATTAACTACAACATTCTGAAACCCCTACTGGCGGCATTCTTCCAGTTGTTAATAGAATGCAAAAACGAAAAATGGACGACGCTTGTGTCTACCTGGATGAAGACAAGGGGGACTTGGAGCCCATCGAGCAAGTACCTCTAAGATGGGAAAGTTGCTCCTGTACGAAGGACGGACACAGCAGGATTAATGAGCAGCAGTCACAAAGTAGACTAGTCTCATATTTTGTCCAGGGCATACTGAGTGACCTCAAATTCCCTGGGACATTTACAACATTCCATAGCATAATGTCATCAGCAAACAATAGCGATACTAATCCAAGCTCTCCAGGGAGATCGTTTACGTTGATGGAGAACAGCATCTGTCCAAAGACAGAGTCCTGTGGGACACGGCTAAGGACCGTCTGCCTAAAGGATAAGCTGCAACCCACACGTACACACTCTTCTCTTCTCTGCAAGAATGAGGATACACAGTGAAGGGCGCGGACAGATCCGCCGTAGAAGTTAGGCTTTTGTTTTTAGCCTCAAGTGGGGTACCTTAACAAAAGCTTTCGAAAAGCAGACGAAAAGCACATTCACCACGTAACAATTCTCCTTTACTTCGGCTCAAGTTTCACGAGCAACAAACAAATTCCTCAGACACGAAAACCACTTTCGAAATCCTTGTTGTGCCTTACTAATTAGACTGAATATCATTCGTCCCTCCACTTTAGTTCAGATCTCGCAGCATTGCCATTGACTCATTCAGAAACAATGTGTATGCACCGTCGAAAATCTTTATTTAGACGAGGACTAGTGCCCTCTAAACTTAGTTACATATATTTCAAAAATATATAAACAATAGAGCCATTAAATATTTGATATAAATCCCCGATATCAAATGAGAGCTAAAATCAAGTTGGAGCAAACGAGATAGAGTTTATTTTAGAACAGTGATGCGATAATATTTGTGGATTATTAGCACGGAAGCAGAGCAACATATGATGCAATATTTAATCGTGATAAATGTTTTGGGATACCGTATGTTTGAATCTAATTTATACTAGCATGGATATTATGATGTGAAAGCTGACATTTCCAGTTCCCATTTCGGAAGTAGGATTATTAAGTCTAGTTTTACTAGGGAAAGTTGAATGGGAACATTTGATAACTACCACAGCTGAACTCAGTCATAGAGTTTTTATAAGACCAGCAGTGCAACGTATAGAATTCCATCCTTTCGGGCACCGTCTGCATTGCGCACTCCATCTGGTACTCGTGTGAATAGAAACCGCAAATAAATTGTTAGGAATTTGTGGTCAGGACCACAGGGATATTACTTTGCTGATCTGCCAATGAGCAGCATAATATCAAACACTAGGTGATTCCTCCCTAATTGGACTCTCAACGGACGAGATATTCAGGCTATTCTGCAATCTAACGCCCTCCTCCTTTCGTCTCGGACCTAAACTCCATTACCAAAAGTGGCCTCATAGACAACTGCTCTAGTGATTATGCTATGATCAGATAAAATGTGAGGGAGTAAACAGAGTAATTATTGCGCCAGTAATATGTGCCTCAATAATCCGGAAATGCCGTAGATAGGCATTTGGTTATTTTTGCTAACATCAGCTCTTCGCAAGCATACTGGCTCGTTAGGGGATAGAAGACTCGACTGGACCTTTCAAAGCGAACCCACGCCACAACAAATATTACGGGAGGCGATTTAAACGCAGACCGGGTGTCCAAAACGCAACAAGGAGACAAAAATGTTCTTGGCACAAACAGAAGCCAGGAATATGAATGTACACTTCGCAAACAGTAATTTGATGCATGCAGCATCTCACCACCTGGATTGTTATTACCCAGCAATGAATAAGTAACCCTTTTCAATTTCCACCTCCTAGTTAGACCGTTAAATCGAATCCCAATTTTACTGCGAGTAGTCACGCCACTAAATTTTTACCAAGAAACGAACGGGTAATATATATGTTTGCTAACTACAGTAGATTTGTACTTGGATCTAGTTGATATGGCTAATAGCCAGGCCATTTATATTAGCTGAAATCCCTTTAAACGTTTATCAGGTTTAAGTCAAAGAAAATGGTGTTTACATTTGCTGTTTTGTGTCTGAACTTGAAAAATTCAGCTTGGAGCTTGGTTCATACCTGCTTTATCACAGCAACTACTTTCGGTGGTCATCTGCGGTTGTTGAAATAGTCCGGCTGTCAAAAGCCAGTGATTCCATGTGTGTGCATAGTTATCTTCAGAAGAATCTGTTTTTCACTTTTAGTAAACATATTTTATCGGGTTACCATTTAAAGAGGACACATTTCCCATGTTTCCTCTCCGACAGGAGCCAATTGCGGGGGCACTGTTAGCATCAATCCTGCTCACGTCATTAGGGAACAAAACGGATGATTTCACTGACAAGGAAGATTACAGAAGTTTTGCCAAGTAAGCGCACACATTCAGCAACGATTGCTTTATGACAGACATGTATAATATCCGTAAGCATGTCAGTTAGCGGCAGTGTTGTTGTTTTGGGATTCAGTAACAAAAAAACGTGACTCCTGTCCACCTCCTCTATGATTAAATTATACTAACCAACGCAATGACTGAATGTATATGAGCGGGCTAAAGGTGATTCCACACATCGCTTTCATTCGTCCGTCACTGGCAAGTACCTGATCTGTGGGAAGATTACGAATGGCTTCAACAAAATATCATGGGCAGCTTATGTGTACCCGTCTACCGTTTCACTTCTAACTAACGGCAAGGGAATATACTTCACGGATTTTGTGCCCCCTGAACACCAAACTGAAGCCATGCGGAAATAGAATAAGCATTTTTGCAAGTGTTTAGGTTATGAGTAGTAGCTTAATCACCTTACGAGAAACGTACAATTTAACTTAGCAAATCCTGTGTATAATCATGGTGTTTCCATCTGATTCGGAGGAGAGTTGTACACTGAAGTTCAATGATTTTCCGTCGAAATCCACTTCCATCCTAGGATAGTTTACTTTTGGTTTCCGCAATGTTGGGCAATCTAACGAGCATATCAACCTATGAGAGTAGATATAGTGTTGTACCTTTCAATAATAGAAAGAAATATCCATATTTTTCAAATCTGACACGGTCAATTTAAAGGCCATGAAAGGTACCACTTTCATTTTTCTTGTAGTGAATAGAAGGAAGCTGGATGGATGAACTGCGATCTTGCGACAGTACCATCAATGCAAACACTTTCTTAATTTTTCCCTTAAAATACTATTCAGCTATTTTAGTATTTCACCTGGAATCGGGATCTTGAAAGTATTTTGAGTGGTGCAGGGGCACTACCCTTCGCCAGTTATCTGCGTGAGCTTTTGGCATTCAATACCATCGGTAACGGTATCCGAAATAGAGGACGTATAAAATTTAGCTTTTGCAAAATAATGAATCTTTACGTTTAGAAGAAACAACTCATGTCAACTCTACTGAATATACTTCCTCTGTGCATGAGAACAATCATTGTAATATGTTATGGTCAGTGCGCTGTATAGAATAAGAAGCCGTGCGAGTAGTTGAAAGGCGTCAGTTTTAGACCGTTGGAGTAAACATTAAAGGCTGGAAATCCGACTAATCCTTGCCAATGGGCCATGCATTCCCAAACTTACATTTCTATCTGTGCGCTATCCCAAAGATTGTTATGGAAAACGCAAACTCTTCAAAGGTATTGAAAACTAGGAGATGAACATATTAATAACTAGGCATATAAATCCCCGTTATGTCAGAATTAATGAGTAACATATTAGTCGCGTGGAAGTACGCTCTATCCGGGTGACGCATGGCACGCTTTGTAGATTTCAGCTCTATATACTATGTTATACTATGTTGGACAGGAATTCATTTGACTCTAAATAACAGTGCTATTGTCTAATTATTAGCATAAATAGAATGCGTCAGCCTGGAATGAACCAGCTGAGAGAAATTCGGCTACAATTCTTAGAAATGAATCTTGGCAAAACAACCCACAAATATCCAACATTTTATGCTAACAACAAACAAATGCAAAAATGTTTCCTAGTCACTTTCGAAGTGTTATTCACGTTTCGTAAATGGCTCATGCAGTTCCTCTATCATAAATGAAGTGCACACTATGTCTATAAAACCTCAATTCAGGTAGCTTCTTAGTGTCTTACGAAAGCGGTTTTGACCCACTGTTTGATATACTGACACTATTCACACAAGTGAAGAATATACAGTGTATATAAAACAAACTATACTAAATTTAATTACGTCAATAAGTCCATGGTTATGACCCAAATTGGATGTAGTTCCTGGTGGAGGATCTGGCATAGTACGCTTCCAGTTCTGAGGTTCATCAGTGAATTTCATGTAGACAAGTCCCTGAATTCCTCTCTGATCTTTGTGGTACACTTTGGCACAAGACACTATGGAGAAGGTTAGTCTGGTTTGTAAATTACATTGTACCATTTGCGAGTATGACATCTATCCTCAGATAGTTCTGACTGTGCGCATCACTGATAATTGGCGAGTGTTCAATAGCACACTAGTCAAACATTTTTTTAATAGTTTGCATATATCTGCGACCCTTTCAACGTGGGTTGAAATATCACCAGACGCTAGGCAGGCCATATACTGACCATCTACTTCAGTTGCGATAAGTTGACAGATGACATCAGTATGATCAGTACCGCCCACTTAACCGTGCTACCCATCACCAACTGATCAGTCGCAGAATTAATATGCTGAACAAACGCAAAATTTATCTAAATGATTAAGAGCAACCAGGTTGAATTTGTGTGGAAAAATGCATTGCGTAAAGTTATATTAAAGCATTCCCAAGAGTAGTATTATTCAGACTGGAAAATACACAAAAACCAAAAGGTAGATAAGCTTCCTCTGTATATTCGACATCATTTAAGGCTTTATGCTAGCAGGGTGACTGTGACAACGTGCGTGCAACTACACTGGAAATTACACTCACTTGAAATGTGCAATATTAAATCATATTCGTGCGCCTCCATTAGAAAATTCGCTTGCATAAATCGCTGCTTAAATGGAGGGATTCAGTGCGGTCCACGACCGATTGGTTCGTCGTTATTTAGAATCATCAAGCAGAGAAAGGACAGCTAGGATTGGAATTTGGTGCATAGTGGTTGACGGCCATTGTCATGAAAACAGGGTCCTTGAGCTCTGCGAGTAGTGTATAACACAGTGGTTTGAAGATGTTTTTCGTGTTTTGGTACCTCTGGGTGTGTGCTCGATTGCGACAGGCCATCGCATTTAGGGCTTTGCTAAACCGTGAACTCAGCAACGGTTAATACCATCCCTGGGACTTTTAACTGAAGCAGAGAGCATCGTTGTGGTTTTCGTCTAGCTCTGCACTCCACGACCGATGGTTGCGTCTTGGTTTGGACTCAACCGGTAAAGATAACTGGGCTGGGAGTGAAACCGTGCCTACTGCTTGGCGGCCATCGCCAGGATCACTAGGCCATTCAGTTTTGCAAGCAGTACCTTGACACAGCGGTTAGAAGTTGATTTGCTGGTATTGCAGCACCCGCGCTGTGTATTGGATTACGCCACGCAATCACGGTTATGGTGTCGGTTGAACTTAAGCCAGTGTCTACCGATAGGGTCACTCGGACCATCAACATAGTTCCTTTGCATCAATCATCCTGCTTGCCTTGTTACGCAAAATCATCGCATTTATCTGATTTCATAGTTCTATCACACATTTTGTGCATTAAGGACCATTCCCATGTGCGCGGATTTGTGTTCGATGTCTCGGTTCAGTGTACGTATTCATGGAACATGAGTGGGTGAATGTTGAAGAATATTGGTGCGAATCCTGGACTGTAGGTACTAATACTGGAAAATGTGTTCCTTTGGGCAAAGTACAGCTTTCAGCGTTACCAGTTAAAGATGTATTTCAAACACTCGATTCCTCTCAAATAAGCCAAAAAACCCAGATGAGATTCACCGAAAAATTTTGATCATTAACTTGTTTCTGATATCTGCGCATAAACTCCTTTTTTTTGCTATTTTGCCTACACACCCGAGTTTGCCCAACTAAATCCGCCTTGCTGTTAGCAATTTACCAAAGTCTACAGTAATTTCTAGGAATCATATGTAGGTTCTTATCCATTGGCATTCCCTCGCTCATCCAAAAACTAGAATTGGTCTGTTGTGTTTCCTTCCCTCGTGATGGCTGAAATTAGACTTATACCTTCTGCTTAAATTGTGTGTTTAATACTTAGCTTGTGAAATCCAAGTGAACTTTGAACCGTGGCTTTCCTTTTCCATCATGCTGATTGTTGGAACTGCATTCGCAGTTGAAATCTTTAGACTTGTTTTACTGCCTCCATTTTAGTGCACTTCCAGCTTCATCTGATCTTTCCAGGTAGAGCTAGCCGCGACGGCATTAACGACTGCCTGAATAGTAAACACAATATTTAGATATTCAACTGCATCATAGCAGTATGTAGAACAACCGAAAAATTCAAATTCCTTATCGATAAACATTTGCATATCGTCTTTATTACACAGATGCTACTGACAGTAAAACTCCCATCGGATGAACCCGCACAACTGTTTCGACAATTACCTTCTTGTTAGTATGCGTGGCGTAGCTTAACAATGATAAGTTAAGTTGCATTTAGTGTAGGCAATGAAATCTAGTACATTGGACGACACACAACAAATAAACTGCAATGCAACGTCCTTTGGGTGGCCGAAGTCTTATGTTTCCTCATTTTCATGTTGTAAATGTCATGCTTAAAGTCACGGCGAAGCAAATCAGTATCAAAATCAATGTGTGCAGGAATCACTCAGTGTTGTCATGCGGTTAAGTTTCATAATGTGACCATTAAGTGCCCCAAACAAAAGGATAAACGAGGGCCAAACGATGTAGTAAAGTATCTTATTCCAATGAAAATAACCGACTTTCATGCAGCTTCCATTTACACACTCTTGGTGTGAAAATGGACTCCGAAATTGCCAAATAATTTCAACGTCTTACTATCTGCGACTTCCGTGTTTGTGTAAATTACCAATTGGTTGATATTCAGTGCTTGTTTCTTGAAAGACACCAGTTTCTGGTCAAAGTGATGTTCAATACTAAACTCTACCGCTAAATGTCACAATTTCTCGATTTTCTGAATTATCCCCGATAAGCAAATAACGGTCAGGTTTAAGGCGTTTTAAAAAGAAAAGCCATTACTCCACTGTTTGTTACTAAGTTGCGTTTGCGCTTAGTTATACATATATAGGTCTACCCCTAAGGATACGAATGTTAACGATTAAACTTGATCTGAGCTTTTAACAATCTTCCAACGGGCAGTTGTTTAAGTGTATGCTCGCCTCAAAGAGTGATGCTTTGTATGATGGAAACGTCCATTGACTGGCGGCATGGGAGGTCGACATGTGGGCAGCGAAAACCCTATTTGACT